GTCCTGCTGGGCAGAGCCGGTGCTCAGAGCAGAGACCTTGCTGCTGTCAGCCCCAGGGTTCTCACACACTCCTCATGGATCGCCAGTTTTCTCCAAAATGAACCTGAACTTTTTTTTTTTTTTAAGTTTTTAGGGTCTCTGCCAGTCCACCTGTGGTCGCTTGTTTCTTAGATTTTGGCTTTGCATTGTTCTCTTTCAACACTAAAATGTCTTGCAAGACTTTTGTATTGTATTTGTACTTCGCTGTAGTTGATAATTAACTATAACAGCATGCATTAGATATGTACTAAAGAAGAACCAAGAGGCCTTAGAAAACATCTTGTTGTTTCCTTTTGGGACATTGGCGGTCAGAGGATGATATTCCCTGAGTTCCTCTTAAGATTTGTTGCTGATCTATTTATTTTAGCAAGACAAACTGTTAAGACTTAGCAGATGATGTCTGTGAAACATTTGCTTTGATAAGAATTTAAACAGGAAACAGATGCTTCTATGGGAGGCAGGGAACTGTCTTACAGTTCTCTATATTCCAAGGCTTAGTTTAGTATTCAGTAAATTCCTTTGCATTAGTAAAACGAGTTCTTCCTTCTGCAAATAACAAATTGAACACTGCACTTGGCTCTTTTAGCCCCATGTTTGATTATTTTATATAGCCTTTCTTTAGTCCTCAAACATCACAGGTGGTTTGGGTTTTTGTTTTGGTTTGGTTTTGGTTTTGGGGGGACGACACCCGGTGGTGCTCAGGGCTTACTCCTGGCTTTGTACTCATGCATCACTCCGGAGGGATTTGGAGGGCCAGATGGGGTGTCAGGGATCAAACCTGTGTCAGCTGTGACCAAGGTAAATACCCTCCCTCTTCTGTTTTCTCTCCAGCCCTTTGTAGATACTATTTAAAGTATCTTTTTATGCCATTTAAACACTCTGGTTTACAAAGTTCTTCATAATGTATTTGTTTCAGGTATTTAGTGTCCGAACACCAATCTCATCACCAGTGTGACCTTCCCTCCACCGTTGTTCCTAGGCTTTCCACCCATACCCCAAGCCTGCTCTGTTGGCAGGTACAAGATAGTTTATTTTATATTGCTTGTTAAAACAAAGTGGTAAGTGGAATTATCAAAAAATAGTTCAGTAAAAAAATGTTGGTGGAAATTTTTTTTTCTTATAGGGGGTTTATAAAAGTCCTTAGAGGACTTCTTATCCTACTTTCCCATCAGATTTATCGTTGTTCTGCTGAATTGTCAGTCTTGCAGAATTTGCTGGCGTGCACTCCAGGATTTGTAGAACTGAGACATTTCTCAGGTTGTTCCCCTCTCAAGGGGACCAAGAATTATCAGCCCAAAGACCAGTGTGCCTGTGAGTTTCCTGGGATTGGCTTGGCATCTCTTCCAGGAGCAGTTGTGAAGCCATGAAGTTTGGCTGTTGCTTACAAGGCAGTGGCTGTGGGATGTAGGTGTGGCTGCTGGGGTTCCCACAGTTCAAGGACCGAGGGGTGGGTGGAGGGTGGTCTGCCCTCACTCTGAGAAGACCTCAGAACAAGTGTGCCTGGGGGTTTCCTTAGCATGGCATCTCTTCGGAGATTAATTGTGAAGCGGGGCTGTTTACATGGTGCTGGCTCTGGGGTGTGGGTCTGCTAAACTATCTACTAATGCTTTAAAAAGCCCAAAAAGAACATGTATGTTATCTGAAATGTGGTATAAAAGCTATGGTGTCCCCAGAGGGTACCAGGGGGCTGGTATGCAGTCACTGAAGTGTGCTCATCCTAGCTGCTCTCTGGGCACATGGGTTCTCTCTGTTTCCCTTTATATTGGGAAACCATCTTTCACTGTTGCTGCCGCCCTGCTGGCTCACACTTCATCATGTTGCTAAATGTCACACGTTTTGTTGTTGTTGCTGTGCCAGGGTCTCACACTTTGTTATGGTGCTAAGGGTCCCACTTGCAATGAGGGACAGTGCTGGGCCTCAGACTTGGGGACTCACATAAGTGTGTGTGTGTGTGTGTGTGTGCGTGCAAAGTGTGTGCTCTACCACTAAGCACTGTCCCAAGCCCCTGGGATAAACATTGTTTTTTTTTTTTTTGAGGGGCAGTGGGGAGTAGGGCCAACCTGGCAGTGCTCAGTGGACACTCCTGGTGGGGCTTGGGGGAGTGAACCCTTTCAGACACATGCAGGCAAGTGCACCCTACCTGCTCTATTGTCTCTCTGGCCCTTCAACATTCTTACTGCCTTTAATAATTTCTTTAATCTTTTATAGACAGCCATCTGAATAATGGCAATTTTCTTATTTATTGTTAGCAATTTGTATTCCTCTTAGAGCACTTTCCCCTCCCTGGGTTTTGGACCACATCTGGTGGTGCTCAGGGCTTACTCCTGGCTCTGTACTCAGAATTACTCCTGGTGGTGCCAGGGGCACCAAGTAGGATGTCAGGGATTGAACCTGGGTCAGCTGCTGCACAGCAAACATACCGCCTGCTGTGCTGCCCCCCCAGACCTAGTATATTTCTTAGTGTATATTGTTGAATGCGAGTGGAAAGGCTCATGGATAATAAAAACGTCTCTACATTATTAGGAGTAATGTTCATCATTAAATGTAATGTCACTAAATGTAACGACCCACAGATTGAGAAACTTGAGTCTAGTTTTATCTGGATTACTTGAAATGCTCGATTTGCTCGAGCGGGCCCAGTAACGTCTCCATTGGAGACTTTGTTGTTACTGTGTTTGGCATGTTGAATACGTCACGGGGAGCTTGCCAGGCTCTGCCGTGCGGGCGAGATACTCTCGGTAGCTTGCCGGGCTCTCCGAGAGGGGCGGAGGAATCGAACTCGGGTCAGCCATGTTGGCTGCGTGCAAGGCAAACACCCTACCCACTGTGCTATCGCTCCAGCTATTTTAAAGTCACTGACAGATTGCTAGAATAAGTTTTGAGATGGTGCCCTATCAAAGATTCCAGAGTTCTGAATTTGTAGGACGAGAACTTACTTGCTTTAGAAACTAGATATGCAAGTTGTAGATTAGTGTTTCTTGGTTTACTTCCTATGAACAGAATGTCAGAAATTATGTGTTGAGGCAGACCTTCTCCTATAGTGTCTGTGTAATAAAGAATTCTGTTACTCTCTTTGTGGCGTGCACGCCTGAGGGTTGCCATCAGGCACGAGTGACACCAGCCAGGTGCTTATCTGTTCAGGTCTCAGGGTATCACCTGGAATTGCCTGCTTCTCCCACTTGCTTGCTGACCAAGTTCAGAAAGTTTGAATGACAAATCATTTATATTCTTGTACTAGGCACAGTGCTTGAGTCTAAATATTGTGAGCTTTACTGAATTTATTTAGTAAGCTTATATTTGGAAAAGGTTAGCTCTGTTCATCGATTTGCTCGAGTGGGCTCCATGGTGAGACTTGGTGTTACTGTTTTGGCATATCGAATATGCCACAGGGAGCTTGCCAGGCTCTCCCATGTGGGCGGGATATTCTCGGTAGCTTGCCAGACTCTCCGAGAGGGGCGGAGGAATCAAACCTGGGTCGGCCATGTGCAAGGCAAATGCCCTACCCGCTGTGCCATCGCTCCAGCCCGTTCCAGAACGTACCCTCTAATATTCCACATAGAATTGCCTGATGTGAGTGTCAGTTCATATCCAGAGTTAAGAAATGAGCGATGCCAGCCAGCATCAGGTATCTTTGTCAGCCCATCAGTTCTAAACATAGAGAGATTGTCCATTCTTTTTCAAGCTAGTCATAAGAGTGGGTCCTTTATTTTCTTAAAGATTTCTTTTTTACAAAGCTGTTCATGATTAGGTTTCAGTCATACAGTGTTCCAGCGCACGCCCCTCTACCAGTGCACATTTCCCGGCACCAGTGGCAACAGTTTTCCTCCCATCATCACCCCCATCCCACCCCAGGTTACCTCTATGGCAAGCACTTTTCTTCTCCCCCCCCCCCACACACACTCTTTTGGGCATTGTGGTTTGCAATACAGATACTGAAAGGTTGTCATGTATATTCCTTTATGTACTTTTAATACTCATTTTTGTCCCGTGTGATCCTTTCCACTATTATTGCTCAAGACTTACTCCTGTTCAGGGCTCAGGGGAGCACACTGGGATGCAGGGATCCAACACTGGTCTGCCACGTGCAAGGCAAGCACTCCACCCACTGGACTGTCACTCCAGTCATGATTATATAATTTAATCTGTGTACCCTTGGAGGAAGTCTTGAGCACTGCTGGGCATGGCCCTAAAATCAAAACCAATAGTAAGTGAATTGGGTAACTCGGTTGCTAATTAATGGCAAAATTAAGATGTTTATTCTTGGTAGTATATGAAAAGTATGTAAACAGTAAAAAGTACTTCATCCCCCTGAGGAGTGTCCTCATTGTGCTTTCCTTCAGTGCTGTCCCAAGCCCTACTTGATTCACCATGTTCCCACGGCTCCCGCCACCTCCTCCCTCTCTTGTGCACAGCTGTCTTTGCTTTTCCGTTGCACCTTCGAGGGACCCTTAGGACTTTCTCCTGTACGTTTTAGTTATGTTGGTCAAGCCAGACTGTTTTCAGTATTTCATCTGTTTCTCTAACATTAAAGTTGGCATCAAGTAAAGATTTTATCTTTTGATTTTGAGCATTGACTCTTGACTATAGGACATGCTACTATTTTTATGTTTTAAATACATGTGCCACACAACTGAGCAACTAATCTTCTAGAAGAAAAATAAAATTAGATCTCGTTTACCTCAGAATCAGGTTGTTAGATGAGAACGTTGAATTGGAAGTCTGTGCATGTTTTCGTTTGTTTTGGGCCACACCTGGTGGTGCTCAGGGATCCTGGAAGTCTACACATTTTTACTAAAATCTTTGAATTAATTTTATTTTTTTAATTAATTTTAAAACAAGCTCAAGTGGTTGTTAATTAATATTCAGGGAACTCTTAGAAAACTCTCCATATGCCTGTTTGGCTCTTGTTATAATGGCCGTTTTCACTTACTGTTTGTTTTGTGACTGTTCTGTTGTGTTAGCTTGACAAAGACGACATGGTTTACATGGAGGCGTATGACAAACTGCTGGAGTCCTGGCTGACTTTGGTCCAAGATGATAAACATTTCCATAAAGGTTTTTTCACTCAACATGCAGTTCAAGTTTTCAATTCCTATATTCAGTGCCACCTAGCTGCTCCAGATGGCACGAGGAATTTGGTAAGTTTTAAGTCAGGCTTTAATATCCATTTTATCATAGCTTTTATGTATTTTATTCTCTTACATGCAGTCAGATATGAGAAATTCGGACCCTTAGAATGTTTGCTGAATGCATTAGAGGGAGAACAGAAGCAGTTCTCCTGGTGAAATGAGCTCTTATTTTGTGGGATGTTGCTTGTAGTTACCGCTTTTCAGTTTTCAGTTACCCACCCATGTCTGCCTACACGTCAAGTGATTGGAATTGTTTCCTGTCTCCGAAGCACTGCTGCTCTCAGGGGTGTCAGATCATAGTGTCCAGTGTGATTCTATGATGGGAGGTGGGTTCGCAGCATTTCCATCAACAGGCCGTGGGGCCAGAGCGCTTCCTCTTGCTCCTCTGCGCCTCTCCTCCCTGGTTCCACCGGGTGCAGGAGGGCCCGGGGTTCCCCTGCCTTCCGCTCTCCTTTGATTTCCTTGCCTGTGAATTCTTAGACAGAAGAATGCAGCCCCTCATTCTCTGTTTCTCTCCTTGATCATTTAGACTGCCAATGGCGTGGCCTCTCGCGAGGAAGAAGAAATAAGTGAGCTTCAAGAGGATGATCGAGACCAGTTTTCAGATCAACTGGCCAGTGTAGGAATGCTAGGAAGAATTGCTGCAGAGCACTGTATACCTCTCCTGACAAGGTACACACAGTCCAAAGAAACCCCATGGAGCAAATACTCTCTATTCACAATTCCCCGGAGCACTTAAAGTGTTTAAAGACTTTAAGCACCCCTGCCCCGTGTCCCAGCACACGGGAACAAATGGACAGAAACATGCTCATGATTGCATTCCTTGGCTTGTGCGTTTGGAGCCCAGGCCCTACAGCATAGATGGCAGAGAGAGTATGGAGACATGGTATGAGCAATGATTTGACCCATATCAATAAACACTTGGAATGACCAGTTTTCAAATGCCTGTTGTAAACTTTGTTTGTAAAGCAGTGTCTTAATTCTGTGTCATAAATAATGAATCACAACTCCAAGAACAGTTGTGTGTTATAATAAATACCTTTGTATGTCTTTGCACAGACATCTTAATTTATATTGTGTAGTAAATGGAAATTGTAAGTTGTTCAAAGTCTTCCTGAGCTTTATGAAGCTATGGTTTCCCCCTCACCCCTTTCAGTTTGTTAGAAGAAAGAGTTACCAGGCTCCACGGTCAGTTACAGCGACACCAGCAGCGTCTGCTTGCGTCTCCTACTTCCAGCACTGTGGACAGCAAAATGCTTGATGATCTGTATGAAGATATCCACTGGCTTATTTTAGTTACAGGTTGGTTGGTTTTGGTTTCGTATTGCTCACTAAACAACTTAGGCCTTAAGAGAGGCTTTGTGTATTGAAGGACAGAGTCCGTCCACTGTCTGGGGTAGGATTCGGATCCAGCAGCTCAGGCCCCAGAGCTCAGGTGGATTTTGAAAGAATACTGGCTAACATAGTCGGTTCCTGTCTCATCAGATGTTTGATGTGGAACACATAGAGAGAGACCCACTAAATAGTCTGAATTTAGGTATTGTTCCTTTCATTGTTATTTTCATCATCCTTATGACTAAGAAATAGAATCTTAAGGGACTTATGGGAAATTGGCCCTGGTCGCATTGCTATTAATTTTTGGATACAGATTGCGAACTTAGGCCAGCTGGCTGTGAGTCTTCATATGTAACCTCACTCTCAGTGTTTGCAAATTGTAAGCAGCCCAAGTGGGGAGAATTTTCATTTTTGAGAAGTCATTCCTATTAACTTCTACAGAATATTTCCTGAAAGTCCTTAATAGGTAGTATATATTACAAGCCTACATGTCACTATGAGTTAAAAGATTTGTTGAAAAACATTTGTTCTTTGTCCTTTTCTATATTTTTGAGAGTAAATTATTTGACAAGTGAGAAGTTTCTTCTCATCAGACTTGAACATATTGACATTTTAAATTTACTTTTACATCAATTTATATGATATCTAGAAGTCAGATAAAACTGAAAACAAATGTAGTGCATTTTGATAAATGTAGATTTGTTAAGTGTTCATTTTTAATTTTTTTTAAACTGAAGGCTACCTCTTAGCTGATGATACTCAGGGAGAGACTCCGCTAATACCTCCAGAAATAATGGAATATTCCATTAAGCACTCATCTGAAGTTGACATTAATACAACACTTCAAATTTTGGGATCTCCAGGAGAAAAGGCTTCTTCCATCCCAGGGTACAACAGAGCAGATTCTGTGATTAGGTAATATGAACTCTATAGCTGTGCTCTTGTGATTTATACTGTTTGATAAATTCTGAGATGATGGGGGTAGATGACTTGAGTGATAGTCAAGCTGTAATTCTGATACAGGAAAGAAAATAAAACTTGGAGAAGCCTTGAAATAAACAAGGATGGCAAGTTCTCGTGTTTGTAGGCAGTTTGGTTGGTCCTGTGCTGAGGGAGACAGACCGCGAAGGGACATTTGATCTGAGACTGGATAAATAAACCCCTTGTGAGTTAGAAAGCAACACTGATGCATGGGTATCAGCACCCTCATCAAAATAAAGACCGTGTGATTTTTTTAAAAGCCAAGTGAAGGTTAATAAGTATTTATGTTCATTCAGCCAAAACTTCCTTAGTGGCTCTCTTCTTATCGAGTTACTTATGCAAATGTGTAAAAGTTGAGAACCCTGTTAGATGAAATTAAGACAGTAATGTGCCTCAAATAAAAAGAATTTGCTTTGATATAGTAGTAGCATATTTAAATAATTCTTCACCTCACATTTAGGTTATAGGCAGAGGGTTATCAGTAATAAAATACTGGGTGTTGTCCATTGCAAAATGAATAACTCAAATAGGGTTCTGTCCCTCTCTTCCATTGTAAAAATACATGGATATCATTGAAACCTGTGCAGCAGAACCTATTTTTTTCTAGTTGAAATATTAAGCTAGTATCAAGGACATTGAAATTTATTTCCTTTACTGTTTCGTTCTCTTGTTTGAAATAGAACATTAGTGCTCTTTTGAGAAATTTTTCTTGCCTTGGGGATTACTGCAGGCATGAGATTTAGTGTCTGTGGAAACCCGAGCTTTTATTTGTTTTGAGTCACAAGGAGTGTCAATTTCGGAGGCAGTTCATTTCAGGGAGCTGTCATGCTATATTTTTGTCACGTGTCCTGCCTGGGCATACCATCAGGAATGCTTTCCTTGTACTTTCAGTGCTTTTTCAATGTTTGCCAGCCCCAGGTTTCAGTGTGGGAGCAAAGCGTTTTGCTATCTGAGAGCACAGACTATGGAGGCTGATGCACACACCATTCTCACAACCTGCCTCCTCAACATGGTTGTGTAGTCCGCTGGGTTAGCTGGACATTGAGGGAATAGGAAACGGTCCTTGTTTTATTGTTTTACTAAAATATAACTCACATTTCTTGAAGAAATTGCCACTTGAAAATTATTATTGCATGCCAGCTATGTGCCAGGCACCATCCTAGGAACTTGGGATATACACAGTGACCAAGGCAGGAAAAAAAAACCCGCCCTCCACCCCCTTTTCCACCTCCTTGTCGGGGAGAGACAAAATAAGTGAGCAAGTTCCACAGTGTGTTGGAGGACTGTGCGTGCCATCGGCAAAACATGGAGCCATACAAGGCGGGTCCCCTGTGCCTGCCCTGGGGATTGTTAGGATTTTAAATTGCTTTTGGTGGAAGCTTTTTTTAGAAGTTTCTAGTGAACAGAGACTTGAGTTTGGCAAGGAAGGCTGTGAGTGAACAGTTAATACAAAAACCTTATCACTTGCCTTGCACGTTCAAGGAACAGCAAGAGTTGCTGATGTGGGTTGAACAGAATGAGGTGAGGAGAAAAGAGGGAAAATCTGGTAAAGTCTGTAGGCCTTTGCAACATCTTTGGGTTTTACTTTGCGTGAAATAGGGTGCTACTTGCAAGGTTTTAAATCAGATAAATGATTGGCGCATTTCAAAGATTGTTGCACTGAAAATGAGCTATGAGGGGCAAGGATATAATCAGGAGAAACCAGCTAAGAGGTTAGTTGTAGTAATCCAAGAAAGAAATGATTGTGATGCAGAATGGAATTATAATTAGAGTTTGTGAGAAGTTGGAGAAAGCTGTTTGGTGTATTATGCTGACTTTGGTTTGTGAAATGCAAAGGTAACTAAAGATTGATTTGGAACGTATGGGAAACTCTAAGTGCTATCTGAAATATAAAATGTGTAGGTGGCATATTTTAAGGAATTGAAAGGGGCTGGAGCAATAGCACAGCCGGTAGGGCATATGCCTTGCATGTGGCCGACCCGAGTTCAATTCCCGGCGTCCCATCTGGTCCCCCGAACACTGTCAGGAGTAATTCCTAAGCACATAAGCCAGGAGTAACCCCTGAGCATTGCCGAGTGTGACCCAAAAAGCAAAAAAAAAAATTGAAAGAGGATAAGGTATTAGCTTTGGTATATTGATTATTTAAAAACATGGAGCTGTCTTCATTGCTTCCGTGTGCCTGGATGTGAGCTCAAATGTGGAAGTGCTGGAGAGAGGGCCCACGTTCTGCCTGCCTGTGGAGATGCAGGGAGAGGCTGGGAACAGGCCCACGTTTGAACTGATGGGGTGTGTTTAGGTTTTCTTTGCCTTTTTGTTTTTAGATATATGAATACATTCCCTTTATTTTGAGCTACCATGATTTATAAAGTTATTCATAGTTCATTTTGGCATGATGTTCTAACACCAATTCCATCGTTAGTATCAGCTTTCCTCAATCAGTGTCCCCAACTTCGGTCCCACCTGTCCTGTGATGGGCACTTCAGTATCATCACCAGTATTATTATTTTAATTTTTTTTTCTTTTTGGATCACACCTGGCAATGCACAGGGGTTACTCCTGGCTCTGCAACCTCTTCAGCCCCTTATTATCTTAAATTTAAGCACGGTGCTTTACAGTACTGTTCCTGATCGAGTTTCATGCCTGATATGATGGGTTGGCCCCCTCTCCCAGAGTCGCCACTTCTTCCCTCTGTTGTCTTCAGGGCCCCCTGCCAGCCCCCTCCCTCTACATCCCCCTCCCCCCCACACCTGCAGCAGCTGCATCCTACCAGAGGCCAGCTGAATGGATTCTTGGGGATCACAAAGGAGTTTTCAAGGAACAGAGGAAGCAAATAGGATTCTAGGCAGTGACCCTAGCGCAGGCTGTGCCCAGCAGGGGAAACATGGCTTCCAGCTGGAAAACCTGGGTGATGCTCAGCATGAGGGAGATGGGCATTTTGTGAGGATGGGGAAAACCCCATGAGCGCTGAAGGAGACAGAATGGTGAAGGGGTATGAGTTGGCGAGATTGTTTTAGAAGAAGCTGACAAGGCAAGTGAGAGAAGCACCTTTGGAAAGTGAGAGTGGGAGTGCTTAGGCTAGACTTGGCTCAAAGACAGGGTGTTAAGTTGTGGAAAGATGAAGGTGGGAGGGCTTGCAGGGACTCTGCAAGCTCACCTGCCTGGGAACTGACTCACCCCCTTGACCCTCCCCTTGACCCCTGCTGCGGTGATTGGCAGGTTGCAAAAGCCTGCAGAGTGCTACCCTGCAGAACAGTGCCAAGTCAATTTCTGTCAGGAGGTTTGGGGAAATTTGCTTTGATTGAATAATGTGGAAGAGTATCTCAGCTGTCTGTTTGTTTACATGTCACTAAAAATAACTGTTGATCACACATAACGTGGAAGAGTTCAGATCATTGAGGAGCCCTGCTTCTTTTAAAATAACCAGCTTATTTATGTGAATGAGTTTTTCCTTTGTGCCTATATATATTAAAATGAGAAACAGGAATCAGATTATTTCAACTATTTTATTTTAGCAGTAAGTAATACTTATTCACAGGCATATGAATTAATTTAGGAAAGCAACCTTGCTATAGTAAGACCATGGTCATTTAGACATGCTCTATTTTTATGTTCAGATATTTAAATTTGTACTGTTTTGCTCATTTGTATACTAGCATAATAATTACCACTCAATCTATAAGAAAATTTAATGTTTTTTGATCACTGTGGAAAGTTTTTTAAGTTATATTTTAAAATATAGGCATTAGGCATTTGTTTCAGAAAAGTACATGATCTGATAAGTAAAATAATTGAGCATAAAATGTAGTAGGATGATGTGTGGGGAAGTGAAATTGCAGTCAGAATTTAAGGAGAAAAGCAATGTAAAGTTTCTGCTAAGAATAAGCGTGTTTCAGGGGATTGCCCTGCCACAGTGGGTGGGGGGATGGGGGTGGGAGGGATATTATCCATGGTGGTGGAAAATGGGCACTGGTGGGGGGATGGGTATCTGATCATTGTATAATCGAAACCCAAGCACAAAAAATTATAAATCTACAACTGTACCTCATGGTGTTTCACTAATAAAAAAAAAAAAAGAAAGATTAGTCAAAAAAAAAAAAGAATAAGCGTGTTTAGCAAATGGATTATGGCATCAAAAAAACCTTGATAATGTCCAGTGCATAATTTTTGAGGTTTAATTGTTTAATTCAAATTTTGATAGGCTGTAAATTATGACATTTAAAAACTATTTCCATGTGGGGGAAAATTGATGTCAAAATGTATTGTGAGGTTGTAGAGATATTTTTGCTCACAATTCACAAAATAATTGATTAAAGTTTGAGTACTGGTGGTATAGGGGATATATGTAGAGTGGCGGGGGAAGAGTTTCTGGGATAGTCAGTAAAAATCAGCAGATTTCAAGAAATCAAGAGAAAAGGAAAATCTCCTAGACTGGGAAATAGCAAACAAGTTGAACACGGGAATTATGATCCACCGGAAGACTCTTTTATAAAGGCAAGTCGCCAGCAGTGTGTAGCACTTCTGAGAGATCCAGTTGGGTAAAGGACTGAATCCTGGCACATAGATCCCAACACATGGAAATCATTTCGGTCATCTTGAGAATGGCAGGAAAGCAGCAAGAGTCAGACTCAAGGTGACTAGTTCCTTGCTGAGTTCAGAAAATGACGTCCCGATGGGTTCTCTTAGTTACAGTCTCTGCTGCTTTGCCTTTTGACTGAAATCAGTTAGGTATATGCCTTGTCTGCTAATGTGCCCCCCTATGGCCCCCAAACAAGGCCTTTGCTTGTTGGCATTTCATGCTGTTACCAACACGGTGAGGGTGATGCAGTTTTAAGCAGTAGAGAGATTATGATGTAGGTTGGTTTTCTTGTTGTTGTTTTAAATCCCCCCAAGTTGCTCAGGGATCCCCGGGCCGGTGATGCTTGGCTTGGCTCTGCAGGCCTGGTGGTCAGTATTCAGAACCAGCCAGATCATGATGTTGGGCCAAGTAGTCCTGGGGGACACCATGGCTGGTGTGGGGGACCCTGATGGTGCTCTCTTTGAGCTCTCACCCCAGCCCCTCTGGAGATAACACTCCTAACAAAAATTTTATTTTAAAATACTATGGAGAATAAGTTTGAGACATAGTACAGTGAAGGAGACTCTTCGCCTTGCATACAGCCAACTGGAATTCAGTCCATGATCTCGCATGTAGTTATGAGCACTGAGCAGAGAGACAGAAGTGAGCCCTGGGCACTACCAGGTGCGGCCCCCAGACAAAAGGGATAAATTTGTTAGGAACTTTAGCGATAAAACAATATTTGGAACACTCGTTAGTTTCTCCTCAGCCACACAGTGGACTGTGTCTAAAACCATGCAGTGTTACAGTCACCACAGAAGCTTCTAGCCAGGACTCTCTCCTCTTTCTTTGTCTTCTTTCCTGCTTCCTGAAAGATCAGAAATATCACAGGGGTCTTGACCCTGTTAGGTGGCAGATTTAAATGTGACCAACCTGGCCAAATTCTAGGGAGTTGAGAGCAAAAAAGGACTTTGAAGAAATATTTACAAGAATTGATTATAACCAATAAAGGAATGACTTCTTTTTTATACCCACAGGTTATTATCTTCAGTCCTGAGAGTTTCAGAAGTCGAATCTCGAGCAATAAGAGCAGATCTCACTCACCTACTCAGCCCTCAAATGGGCAAAGATATTGTTTGGTTTCTAAAACGCTGGGCAAAGACTTACCTCCTGGTGGATGAGAAACTGTATGATCAGGTCAGAACTGAAACTATTCGATTTCATTTGGATTGATGATGATGAAATCTTAGAGATTTAGAACATTTTTGTAGGTGATTTTATCATGGAAAGGTAAAAATTGGATATTAGTTACATTAAAGAGAAATTAAATGTGGGCTGGAGCAATAGTACAGCTGATAAGGCACTTGCCTTGCCCACAGCTGACCCTGGTTTAATCCCCAGGACACCATATGCTCCTGTAAGCCACTGAGCTGAGCCCTTCTGGGTGTTACCCCCAAACCCAACCTCTCCTCTTTCCCCCACAAAGAAATGAGCATGATGAAGTGGGGGGGGGCTGTTTGTTTGTTTTGATTTAGTGAAGTTAAGTAATTTTATTTGAAAACGTTGACTTAGAGAAACCTGTAAGGAGGTGGTGGGGAGAGACAGAGAGGAGACTGGGGGGGTGGGATGGGGGGGTGAAGTGAGAGAGAGAGGGAGAGGGAGGAACAGGATGTAGTCTTAATACCTTCTTGCATTTTTGGTTATTCAGTTAAACATTTGATTATTTAGTTACATATTGTTTGTGAAAGGACTAATTTATTTTGTGTTTAGTGTAAATATGGCAGCGTGTTAATAATAATTAAAATAAATCTCAGGTCTACAACTGTACCTCATGGTGTTTCACTAATAAAAATCTAAAAAAAAAAAATCTCAGGAACTAACATTAGAATGCATTAAGTATATGTACCTGGCTCTTTGTGGCTTGTAGAAATGAATACATTTATGAAATCGATGGGCCCTAAATAGCATTTTGTCCTGAGATCCTTAGTGTGTTCATTTTCCCAGGTGGTATTTTTAAATTTGCAGACCTTTTCTCCCCTCTGCAGATCAGCCTGCCATTCAGCACCGCCTTTGGGGCAGATACGGAGGGCTCGCAGTGGATCATCGGCTACCTCCTGCAGAAGGTCATCAGTAACCTCGCCGTCTGGAGCAGCGAGCAGGATCTTGCCAGCGACACTGTGCAGCTGCTTGTCACTTTGGTGGAGAGAAGGGAAAGGTAAGCGGTTGTTCGAGCAAGGCTGCGTGTGTCTAGAGAGAAATCTCACTGTGCTTTCAGTGTGGTCTCATCAGATATGCCTGGCGTTTGGGTGGGGTGTGTTTAAAAAACGACATAGCCTGTCATTGTGCGGAATGCACATGGGACTTTGCCCGGTTAAGGGGCCATTGAGATAGTAAAGGGTTAAGGCTCTTTGCCTGTGGCTGGTCCTGAATGATCCCTGGCACTGCAGATGCCCCCAAGTTGCACCAGGAACGACACCGACACCGACATCCCCGACATCCCCGAGTACATGGTCAGTACAGAGCCCTGAGCACAGCTGGGTGTGGGCAGAGTCCTCCCCCGGGCTGCCCCCGGGAAGAATTGTATTGATTTTTCAAGGGGTCAGCATCAAAGAGTCCTCTGATTAGCATTTGAATTTAGTGATTTCTAGTTGAACGGACTTGGTCTCAGGGGCTAGAGGGCTGGCTCAGCGGGCAAGCACATGCTTTGCGTGCAGGAACTCTCGCTTCCATCCTGGGCCCTAAGCTGGAGGGTAGCTTTCCAGCACCACCATTGTGGCTTCAAAATGAAACAAAAATCACCCCTTCCCCCAAGCCCCACAAAAGCTAAACCCATAATATAGAATAGTCCATTTGATTTTTTCCAGATGTTTTATTAGTATCCTTTTCTAAAGACAAGAAAAATGAAAAATTTGGTAATTTTGCAAAGTGAAATTTTTACTGCTTTCTGCCAAAAACCTTGGGAATATTTTTTTTTTTACACATAGGAATATGATTGTGGGTATTAGTATTATAATTTATTTATTAGTGAGACACCATGAGGTACAGTTGTAGACTTACAAATTTTTGTGCTTGGGTTTCAATTATACAATGATTAAATACCCATCCCTCCACCAGTGCCCATTTTCCACCACCACGGGTCCCAGTATCCCTCCCACCCCCAAGTATTATAATTTAATACTGTATTACATTTTATATTTTACTAGGTACTGTGAGACATACTTCATTAATACAAATTCTCGGCCATTATTTTTGTTGTTTCTTTGTTGCATATCAGGAAAGTTGTTCATTAAGAGAGATTCACTAAATTTTACTTGGTCTAGGAGGAGATTTGAAATGTGGGCTGTGTTGATGCCATGCTGCCAAGTTTATTCAATTATCTGGTTACCTTCCTTTAAAGAAACAGAAAATGGATCAAGTTGGTGCACATATAAGTAACACATTTTGTCTTATTTCTGACTGTAGGGCAAACTTAGTCATTCAGTGTGAAAACTGGTGGAATTTAGCTAAGCAGTTTGCAAATCGAAGCCCGCCTTTGAATTTCTTGTCAAGTCCTGTGCAGAGGACTCTAATGAAGGCCCTGGTCTTGGGAGGTTTCGCACACATGGACTCAGAAACCAAACAGCAGTACTGGACAGAGGTAATGCTTTTCTTAATTTACATTCTCTCCTGTGGGTACGCTATACCTTATCTGTGTGCTGAAATACTTCATGGAGATAAAAATGTTTCATATCTTACAAGTTGCTCATATCTATTCAGGTGATAACATCTAACATTTTCAACTCAAATGGAGATCTGAGATGGTATATTGATTTTTTTTTCTTTTTGCTGTTTTGGGGTCATACCCAGCAGTGCACAGGGATTATTCCTGGCGGTGCTCAGGGGACCATGTGGGATGCTGGGGATCGAACTCAGGTCAGCTGCATGCAAGGCAAACGTCCTACCCTCTGTGCTATGGCTTCAGCCCTGGTATATTGATTCTTTCTTGCGGGTCAGCGAATTGTAGCCTTGTCTTGAACAGAAAAATGTAAATTAAATACTGAGTTCAGCTGCTGTAACAAAATGCTGCACTTTTGTTTGTTTGGGGGCCACACGTGGTGGTGCTCAGAGTTACTCCTGCCTCTGTACCAGGGATCATTACTGTGGCTTGGGGGTCTTGAAACCTGGACTGGCTATGTATATGGCAAATACCCTTCCCGCTACACTATCACTCCGGCCCCACCAAACAGTTTTAGTAGCTTAAACAGTATTATGTCTTGAAATTCTGTAGCCCAAAGTTCTAGAGCAAGGTAGTCTTGGCTGCTTCAGAAGACTTATAGGGAATGTTCTGGGAACACTGCTGGGAATGTTCCCCTTTGCTCCGGGTCTCACTCTGATGGCCCCCTGAGCGTAGTCTGTGTCTACAGAAGCATCAGACTGAACTCTGCCTTCATCTTCACAGTCTTCCACAGGTCCTTGTGTGTATCCAGATTTCCTCTTTAACAAATAGCCAGTGTTCACACTCACCTGTGAAACAGAGAGAGAGAAAAAAAGAGAGAAAGAAAACAAGAAGGCAGGCAGTGCCACAAACAATGGCAAGTCCTTGGTCAAAGATTACAAAACTGATGAACAGATAAAGAGAAGCGGGGCAGGGAGTGGAGATCAGACTAGTTGTAACTTAGGGACAACAGTGGGAGTTTGTGGGGGCAGGAGTGCAACAACTTTTTATCATCAGTACCATTCAACTTTACCCCTAGTAAATTTATAGTTTATACATGGTTTCACTATGGTCACACCCCTAGTGTGACCATGTATAAACTATGATAAAAAACGTTTTAAAAATTTTCCTTTTTACAGAAGATTCATACTGCACTGTATCCTGTCTCCCCGTGGCCTCGTCCTAGCGTACCTAATTATATTTGAAGCAAAACTATTTTAAAACATTGCCCGTTCTGTGGCTGGAGTAACAGGGCAGTAGGGAGGGCACTTGCCATGCATACGGCCAGCCCAGCTTTAAGCCCCAACACTCCAGATGGACCTCTGAGCCTGCCAGGAGTAATTCTTGAGTGCAGACTCAGGAGTAAGACCTGAGCACTGCTGGCCGTGGCCCTCCCGAAAAAAGCCCCTGATAAGGTTTGGGGTTTGGACTTCATGCAGTTTTGGGAGAGATGTGACTCAACCCCTAGGGGTCACTGTAGCTTTACTGCCTGAGAGTCTGAGAGTATGAGCAGTCTACCGGGAGGGGAGCCCCTTGGTGTATTGCTGCCCAGCTGCGGTGCTTTGTTCTGGTGTCGGGGAAGGAAGAGTGACCATTTTATCAGTTAGTATAGCTTTAGATAGAATTCAGAGAATTATTATTTTCATGAATATGCATATTCACTCTGCTAGCCGGGGAAGGATTGAGACTAATTCTTGCCTGCTATTTTTTTTTTCATTTTTTTATAATTTTATTTATTGAATCACTGTGAGAGCAGTTACAAAGCTTTTGGGTTTAAGTCTTGGTCATACAATGAAACACCTGTACCTTCACCAGTGTCCATTCTCCACCACCAAACTCCCCAATATAACCCCATCCCACACCCTGTGGGGGCACATGATTTCCACATTACTCTCTCTCTACTTTGATTACATTCAATATTTTGACACCTGACCCACCACTATTATTTGAGTTTTTACCCCAACACTTGGACCTGCCAAAAAGGCAACAGTAGACAATTTGTTTTCTATTGCTGGTTATGAATAACATACGATGTCGCGTAGCTGCAGTAGTAACAGCGCAATTTTGAAATTCCAAAATTTTAACAAATCTGGAGGGATTTCTGCCAAAACCTGCTGGGTTCCAAGATTTGTTCCTGAGTCTCTGGGATCATGGCCGTTCAGCAGCTTGATCAGGAGCCAGAGAGGCTCTTTGTGGGCGGCAACTCACTCGGGGTCTCATTGAACGGGGAGGATAGGGCCGGCTCCACCACTATCCTGCGTGTCTCATCACTGCGGGCCCAAACATGACTGTCCAAAGGCCTCTGGAGGATGGCGGCCACCGAGCTGCCAAGGGGGAACAGGCAGAGGGACAGCACCCTTTCCCCCCTGGGGTGGCGCAGCAACAGTAATCTACTACGGGGTTCGGACACATTTCTGCCAAAAGCCGCTGGGTTTCGAGATTCGTTTCTGAGTCTCTGGGATTATGGCTATTAAGCAGTTCGATCAGGAACCAGAGAAACCATGCCTCCAGTTATATAGCTGAGCCGGAGGTGGTTTGTGGGTATGTCTCCCACATACCTAATTTTTGGCCGTTTACTTTCTTGGTAAACTTTGCCCCAAGTTTTTGGGGTCTGGCCAAAGGCACAGCAGCAATTTTGGGGTATCTGAAAGTCTGAAGGTGCCATCACGCTGCTGATTCACTTGTCTCACAGGTACAGATTGACCTGCTGGCGGTACCATGCCGCCCCTCCCCCCCCATTTTTTTTTAAAGTAAAGTTGTGTTGAAAAAAAAGTCATCTGCAGGGGGTCTGCAATCATAATTGGCAATTGTGAGAGAGAGTATGTCTCGCACCCTCTGAAATATCTATCCTCTGTTGGAGAAAAAGTTTGATCACCCGTCTGTGGAGGCTGAACTTTTCATTGTTTTTGAGGGGGGATGGTGGCGATCAATTGAGAAAGACTTTCGTAATAGAATTATAGGCAGAGCATTGAGTAAGTGGTGTTTTTTGATTACATGTGTTCTTTCTCTATACCAGATATTAATGATAACCAGGGAAATGTGATATAGTATTAAGACTTTCTTTACTAGACTTTCTTTGCTTCCAAACGTAGAAATGTTTTCAGAGTGAATCTTTGTCCACAGTGAGAAATTAAAAAATAAAGTGACATAAGAAACAAAGGTAGATCAAACTTGTAGAAAATGTGTTTCATTTTTGCAGGTTCTTCAGCCACTTCAGCAGCGATTCCTGAGGGTGATAAACCAAGAGAACTTCCAGCAGGTGTGCCAGCAGGAAGAGGTAAAGCAGGAGATCACTGCCACGCTCGAGGCGCTGTGTGGCATCGCAGAAGCCACCCAGATCGACAATGTGGAAATCCTGTTCAGTTTCCTCATGGACTTCCTGACCAACTGCATTGGGCTGATGGAAGTTTACAAGAATACCCCAGAGACTGTCAACCTCATCATTGAGGTGTTTGTTGAAGTCGCCCATAAGCAGATTTGCTATCTCGGAGAGGTGAGCACTTTCTTGCCTCACGCCTTTGAAGTTGTACTAAGGTAATAGACACTCTCTTGCAAATGAGCATGAACTTTTCAATAAGTACAGTTTGAGCTAATATTTTTCTAGAAGTCTGTTTCCAAATGAAAACAAATTATGGCCCTCGTGGCCCCAGCACTGTCAGGCCTGTGCCGCACCTGAGCACTGACTGGTGCGGCTGGTTGACCAGGAGGTGGTGAGATAGACCATTTCCATCCTCATTGTGAATGTTACAGAAGCTGAACAGCAAAAGTAATTATTCTGTTGCCAAAATTGTATGGTCTCTCTCTTATGCATTATCAAATGGATGCACCCAACAGTTGGATGCCAGTTTGACAGAAATCTGCTAATAATTTAAACATATATCATTTTCATAACTGTTAATGTCTTAAATATCAGAACTATTGTCAGGGGCCGTGGTTAGCACTCAGTGGTCGAATGCATGCCTAGCTGTGTTGTAGAGGGTCCCATCCCTAGCACCCCACCCCCCCAAAAAAAAACCACTCTAGCAAGAACTACTACAATAAGTACAGTTTGAGCTAATATTTTTCGAAATCAGAGATGTATTTCATTTCCAGTGATATTCTCAGTGCTCAAGTGTGTGACGGGATTCCATCCCTGGCATACCCCCACCCTCAGCCTCAGAGAACAACATGAACCTTTGTTAAAATTTAGAGTAAATTTATTGAATTGTATTTTTCAGTTTTTGAAAGTTTTTGAAATATTTGTTTCCTAGTTAGGATCTACCTAGTATAATTTATGTAATATGCTTTCTCACAGTCGAAAGCTATGAACTTGTATGAGGCCTGCCTCACTCTATTGCAAGTATATTCCAAGAATAATCTAGGACGGCAGAGAATAGAGGTTACCGCTGAGGAAGAACAATACCAAGACCTGCTTCTCATTATGGAACTTCTCACTAACCTTCTATCCAAAGAATTTATAGATTTCAGTGACACAGGTAAGGTATCCTGTCATGGATGGAAATGCTGTCTTGCTTTTAATTAAGCAAAGAAATGTTTCTTGTGAATGGGATTCCAAGAGGAAATTCAGTTTGACAAATAGCTGAAGGTTTACGTCTGGGGTTAAAATGAAAGTGGAAGCAGTAACCCCTCCTACCTGACTTCCCTTTTAGAAGTGGAACGTCATTAATTTGTTCTTACTAATAGCATAGTACTGCTTTGTGCTCTTACACCGGCAGGGAATCGACCTGTCACTCTACTCCTTCCAGGTAGGGTCCCCCAGAAGCATAGAGGTGTGTGTCATCTGTCATGGTAGTCTGGAATCGGGTACTAGATCTGACCCAGAGCCATCTCTGTAGAGTTGTGTTACCTCATCGCTCGGGCATGTCCTCTTCTGGGGATAAAGCTCGCAGCACTTGTTGGAAAGGGAGACATGGACTTGGGACATCGGCTGGCCAGAGTGTAAAGACATCTCCTTGGACTTAAGAGTTTCCCCCTGCAGCACAGCCTTGGCAAGTCACTTGTCCTTCTCCTATCAAGAAGAATTATGAAAATGGGTTTAGTAATCTCTTTCAGAATGTTCTGAATTTTAGCTAATGTGTCTTTGGTTGCTTAGCTTGGTACCTAGCAAGCGCTAAATAAAAGTTGTTTTGAAATAACTTGATCAGCAATTGAACTTGTTTGTGTTTCTTTCATTCATTTCATACCCCACTGCTAACCTTGTCTTAAAGAGAAAGAGGTCTGGGTTTCTGAGAGGAAGTGAACTGTGTCAGATTTCTTTTTCATGAATATGCAGATTTGGGCTAATGTCTCTTCGGACTTCTTATTTGGGTACACTTATTTCCTGATGCTTGAAGTTATTCATTCTATGATCATTTCCTTATGGAGCAATAATGATGGAACAATGACTTTTCTGCATCTGTACTGCTCCGATGCTGACAGGATCAAGTAGCTCTTCAGTTCAAAGGAGAGCTTGTCAGTCCAGTACCCTTGTCCAATGCTCTTTTTTTCTGGGCCAGCACCCCAGTGGCCACTATTACCTTCAGTCTGCTGTTCTTTTGTGTATTTGGGGGCCATACCTGGCTGTGTGCAGAGCGTACTCCTGCCTCTGCACTCAGGGATCACTCCTGGCGGGCTTGGGGGACCATATCGGATGCTGGGGTTCAAACCTGGGTCGCTGTGTGCAAACCACTGTACCGTCTGTCCAGCTGCATAGTCTGCTGTTCTTGATTCCCGGTTTCCTGATATTTTCGTTGTCGTGTGTGCCTTTAGACTCTCGCTAGTCGCTGGCACTTGTGCTTGCTTGCCCGACGCTTGTATACCAGCAGATGCAGTTACACGTGCCTGTGTACTCCCGATCTGCACTCTGGGGAGCTGGGAGTATGGACGCAGGGCTGTCCCGCAGCTGTGGGCTCAGACGCAGGTTGGGGAGTGTGCTGGGAAGAGGAGCCAGACCTTCGTCTCCTGGATCTGGGCACACAGTGCCTTCTTTCTCTCAACCATAACAGAAATAAATTATAGAGGAAACACTGAAGTTCCCAAATAGATGAGGTGGGGTGGGGATGTTTCCGAGTTTAAAAAGAATAAAAACGAGGCACTGGAGAAAGTACAGTGAGTCAGGCGCTGGTCTTCATGCAGCCAACTCAGGATCGATCCCCAGCACCCCGTAGTGGCCCCTGAGACCCACCAGAAGTGATCCCTGAGCTCAGAGCCAGGAGTATGTCCTGAGCACTGCTGGGAATGTTCCCCTTCAAAACCTCCCCACAAAAAAAGAATATTAAGACCATTATATTTTAAAGGGAAATTGAGTTTGAAACTTAGTTCAGGATTGGAATAACAAAATAAAGTCTGAAAGTGCTGATTGGGGCCCAGAGATGTGGTGATGTGCTCGAGTGGTGTGGGCCTGGCTCCACCCAGCCTCCTACCATCACCAGCACCACCAGTACTGACATCAGAGCACTCCTTGGTGGTCCTGACCCCTTCTCCCAAAAGCAAAGCTTGATAACACTAACTGGTAAAATAGATGATAGAAGAGGAGATATTTAAGTATTTTTTAAAGCTCAAGAGAGGAGGTAAAGAGAAAATGGAAAATACTTTTTTTTTTTAAGTATCATGAAATAAAATGAACATCAGAGAAGAGCTAGTGAAAGGGTAATTGGACACGGGCCTCTGCTGTGTTCCAAGGGCCAGAGCCCCAAGTGTGACTGGAGCTCAGAGGCCCCGCGCCAAGGGCGGCTCAGTCTGTCCCCCTTACCTCCGGCCGGCCCGGGCCATCCCAGTGCCTTCTGCATGTGGAAAGGCTTTCTGCTGGGTGGAATATGGGCTTTAGAAAATGGGCTGCTTTCTACAATTCAGCATTAGGTAGAAAATGTATTTTTGAGAAGCATTTTTAAAAATCCCATTCATATTTTATTTCTCCTTATAAAATTAATAAGCTCTTAATAAAAAGAACTTTTTGTGGAGGGCTGGGCTACATCTAGTGGTGGTCAGGTCATACCCTTGGCTCTGTGCTCAAGGATCACAAATGACAGTGCTCAGGGGACCTTATCGGGTACTGGGAATTGAACCCTGGTCGACCACATACAAGACAAGCATCCTACCTGTTGTGCTATCTCCAGTCCCCTTAATTTTTTTTTTCTGATACAGAAAAATTCCCCATAATTTGATCTAATCCAGAGGCCTTACCCCTACCCTTACCAAAAGGAAGTTACCCTTTTGATGTAGTTTTCTTTGTAGTCATCCTCTAAATATAATTTTATATGTTACCTTAGTCGTTAGTGGGTAATTAGCCTTTTCCGTATCATTAGAATCTGACACAGTTTCTATGGTTCCCACATTTTGGAATTTAATCTGTTTCCTTAAACTGGATAAACAGCACAGTAGTGATTTCTTATCTCTTGAGTCTGTCTGAATTTCTGACTGTATCCTGAGTTGGTACAGTTCCCAAAGCTTTCAGAGTATTGATTTGCAGGGTAATTATTACACTGGATTCTCACCCTCAATGAGATGTTATCAGTTCACTCTCAGAACTTAGTTTTATTTATTATTTATTTATTTATTTATTTATTATTTTTTTAATAGTTTATTTCTTTATTGAATCACTGTGGGAAAAGTTACAGAGCTTTCGGGTTTAGGTCTCAGTCATGTAAGTATCAAACACATTTCCCTTTACCAATACTTATTTTTAACCGTGAACCCCAATAGAACCCTACCTCCCACCCCTCCCAATTCCTGTGAGGCAGATGAGTTCTAGTTAATACTCTATCTACTTTGACTAGATACATTGTTTCGATAGAAGATACACAATTATTGTTTAGAGTTTACGACCCCCCCCCCCCCCACAATCAGATATGCTGAAACAGTGTTGTGAAATGATTTGCTTTCTACAGCTTGGTTTAAGAATGAAATGATGTCGTGCGGCCGCAATAGCGGCCACGCGGTTTTGGATTTCTGCTGTTTCACTTATTAACCCTGGAAGTATTTCTATTAAAAGTTAGTTAAGAGATTGGTTTCTGTGCTCTGGAGTCGTGGCCATGCGGCCGCCATCTTTCTTTCCAGAGAGGAGCAGGCGGGCCGGTCAACACCCTTTCCCCTCCGGGCAGGCTTGGTGGCGCGGTTTAACACATGGTCCATTTGCTTTTCTGCTCCAAGCGGCTGGTTCTCTGTGCTAAGACCTTGTGCCTCCGGGGCTGTGGCCGTGCTGGAGAGCCGCTCGTGGGGGGCAGCTGGTGACCTCGGTCGGGCGTGAAGGACGGCCCAGAACGCCCCCCTTCCCATGAGGCCCCTGCTGCCCCCCGCCCCCGGCTCAAACCTGCTGTCCACAAGGCTCCTGTGCGGCCGCCATCTTTCTTTCCAGAGAGGAGCAGGCGAGCGGGACAACACCCTTTCCCCTCCGGGCAGGCTTGGTGGCGCGGTTTAAGAACTTAGTTTTAGTGAATCAGAAGTACCATTAGAATGTTGCATGGCTTCAACTGTTAAAATGAACTGCTTTTCATTTTTGGTACTGTTTGATGTTTTTGGGCTTTGCTCACCTAACTACTTTTTTTCTTATTCATATACTTACATTTCTTTGGATTGATAATAGTAACTCGGGGTGGGGAGCCCCCAGGGAGTATTCAGGGTGCCCAAGGACTGCACCTGGCCACACCTGACCAGCTTGACCGTGCTGAGGCCTGAGGATGTCCCTGCCTGGTGGCCTGGAGGCCCAGACTGTGCTCGCAAAGCTGTGGGCTGCTTTGTGCAGGGCTGTGTTGACTCACTCAGCTGCCTGTGCTGCCCAGGCTCTGGAAGCTTTTTTTTTTTTTTTAACATTTTTCTTTACGATTTCTCCTGCTCCATTTAGCTTAGAAAAATTCCACACTCCTGAGAGAGAAAGCAAATGTTAATGTGGAAGTTATGTAACTATACCCATGCATTACAGATTTGATTTAATTTTATTTTTCAAATCATTGGTAAGGTATTAGTTTTGCCTTCATCCTTGTAAAAGAATAATATAAATGCAAAATGCCTGCATCTAGTAGTACTCAGAAACTCTGCAAAGGAAAACACAGGATTTCAGAGTAAAATTTCATACAGACCTTTGGCTTTAGTTTTGTCTTTAGGATTTGATTCTGTTACTATTTTCCTAAGGGGAGAAAATATCCAGATTCTCGTTTCTTTTTGGTTTACTGGTAGGTAATAGAGGGCTTTTTGATGGTACGATCTTAGACGACCTTGTTTTTATTTTAACAGATGAGGTGTTTAGAGGACATGAACCTGGGCAGGCCGCAAGCAGAGCTGTGTCAGCAGCTGATGTTGTTCTGTATGGCGTCAACTTGATCCTGCCTCTCATGTCGCAGGACCTTTTGAAGGTAATTGAAGAAAGTGAATGTGAACATTAAATATATGTATATGCCTAAAGTTTTTATGTATCTTAGGTAAAAATAAACATTTGCTTTAATCAAGGGTTTTTCACTACCTCCTTATCTGCTAAGTATACGTGCAAATAAATTATTTGCGTTTCTGTTACTCTTGCAGCCCCTCAGTCCTCTGTTCCCACCTGAGACTTCCTTCACCCATATGCTAGTGACAGTAATGATTCTTTTAAAAACTGAGTTCGAATAGCGGTTTCACTTGACTCATCATTGGTCATTAGGCAACTAAAGTTAATTGTTGTTCAGGTATATTTCTCTGTTACTTTCCAAGTATCATTTTCAGATTGTGGAACTGAGCAACAGAAGGCATTTTTCAGGGTATTCCAGATAGAAATTGGAAAGTTTTAAAACGTGTATAAGGGCTAAAGAGACAGTACAGTGAATAGGATACTTGCCTTGAACATCACTGAATCAGGTTTGATTCCTGGCAACGCGTATGGTTCCCCAAGTACTTGAGGAGGGATTCCTGAGCACTGAACCAGGAGTACTGCTGGGTGTGGCCCCAAAACCAAAACAATTTGGTGTAGTTGGATACTTTCCTGAATATGTTGTGCATACCTTGTTTTTTGTTTTTGTTTTGGCAAGTCAGTGTTGAGGGACTTTCTTTTCAGCAGCGGAGCAGGAGGTAACCAGGTGTTTCTGTCCTTGTGAGATAGATTATTGGGAGCTAGGCCAGGAGTAGAGCAGCGGATTGTAGGCACTATACTGCTATAGATTGTAGGGAAGGATCAATTGTATATTGACTTGCTTTTAGGGCTTTGGTTTGTTTGTGTCATCAGACTATTAAACATTTAGTTGACTATTTTGTTGTTGTTGTCATAGGTGGCGGTGTTTTTAATTTTTTTAATTTGGGGCCATACCTGGCAGTGCTAAGGGGTACTTCTGGCTCTGTGCTCAGGGATCACTCCTGTCAAACTTAGGGCCCATATAGGATGCTGGGACTGAACCTGGGTCAGCTGTGTGCAAGGCCAGTGCCCTGTCTACTGTACTCTCTCTCTCTCTCTCTCTGCCCTAGATACCTATTTTCTTAGGTGAGTTTAAACTAGGTTCTGTTCCTTTTTACCCCAGTTTTCCAGGAAGGTCCAGATAGAAAATCATCTTTGGACATGTGAAGGACAGTTTGTATTGCCTTCTTGTATCTCTTCAATATACTTGAATGCAAATAAACGTGCAAAGGGGTTTTATATTTCTAGTTCTAATAATTTGAGATTTGACTCCTTGATTTACTTAATTGACTAAAGTATTTACTAACTGTCCAGAAGATAGGTGATTCTGTATATTACTGTAGTATTCTCTTTATTTTAACTCATATTTGCATTTAATTAGATTTTCCTTTTTCTTTTTTTTGTATCGTGTGTGTGTGTGTGCGTGTGTGTTTTGAAGTAATACAGGTTTATTTGGAGGTTTTTGAAGGGGAGGAAGAAGAGAAAAGCGGGAGGGAGAGAGAGAGTAACACGCTCGAGAGAGCACGGGCTTCCCAAGATGGAGAAGTCCCTACACATAGCTCAGCATTAGATATGAAAGCACAAAAGTACACATCTTAAGAGGGGAGATGCAGGCGCCACATGTGCTTGGCCACATGGGCACAAGCAGCACGTGGGCTTGGGTGTTTAATCATTATAGTTAAAAGTTTGGTTATTGCCTTTTTATTGCAATAAGTAAAATGGAATTTACTTTAAGCAATCTAAATATTTAACTTTTTTTTTCCAGTTTCCAACCCTTTGTAATCAGTACTACAAATTAATCACATTCATCTGTGAGATTTTTCCTGAAAAAATTCCGCAGCTTCCTGAAGATCTTTTCAAAAGCTTGATGTACTCTCTAGAACTAGGAATGACATCATATCCTTTAAAGGAACATCATTATCACTTGCGGGTAGGGTGTTTGCCTTGCACATGGCCAACTCAGGTTCGATTCCTCCGCCCCTTTCGGAGAGCCCAGCAAACTACCGAGAGTATCTCGCCTGCACGGCAAAGCCTGGCAAGCTCCCCGTGACGTATTCAATATGCCAAACACAGTAACAAGAAGTCTGAAAATGGAGACGTTACTGGGCCCGCTCGAGCAAATCGATGAACAGTGGGAGGACAGTGCTACAGTGCTACATTATCACTTGTCCTTGGGGGAAAAGATTTTAGTTAAAGGAAGATCTAAAATGTTTTTATTTTCATTTGTGGTTTGGATTTGGTTTTTAGAACATGCCATTTCTCTCTCCTAATTATGCTCTCCTTTCATTACTCTGCCTTCTCTGCCCGTCTTTCCTAGAGCCCAGAGATATTTGACCCTGGTCCAAATTCATTCTGGTGTTTCATCCTTAGAGTAAATAAGTCTTTTCATTAGCCGTGAGGGTTATAATCAGAAATGTAGAGTTCTCCACATCACAGACACTGAGGCATTGTCTCAAACACACTGGGAAGGAACTTTTCTCACGACTCTGCATACTCATAAACTCCCTTGTTCCTTCCTAGAAACAGCCATTCGTTTGAAAATAGTTGTAGTTTTCAAATCTTTTTAAAGATTAGTGTCAGTGTGTTGTCCTCGTTGTTCCTTGACTTTTGGGATCAGAATGAGCTCGGAGGTCTGCCAACTCTGCCTTGAAGCCTTGACACCGTTAGCTGAGCAGTGCGCCAAGGCCCGGGAAACAGACTCGCCTCTTTCTCTCGCAACTCGGCACTTTCTTAAGGTGAGGCATGTCTGGGCGTACTGCAGAGCCATCTGCTGAGGTGCTAACGTTCCTGCTGAAAGAATGATTGCTTTCGGTGTTCTCTGGAAGATCATTTCCTCAGTTCCTAGTCTCCACTTTTATCTTATGTTGTTGAAAACTGATGTGTTGAAGATCATTGGGAATTTGATAGTTTGATTATTTTCATTGTATCACTGTTATCCCGTTATTCATCGATTTGCTCAAGCAGGCACCAGTAACGTCACATTCGTCCTAGCCCTGAGATTTTAGCAACCTATCCTCACTCGTCCTTCCTGACGGTGCCACATTAGAGGCTCTTTCAGGGTCAAGGGAGTGAGATGCATTATTGTTACTGTTTTTGGCATATCAAATACACCACGGGAGCTTGCCAGGCTCTGCCGTGCGGGCAGGGTACCCTACGTAGCTTGCTAGGTTCTCCGAGAAAGAGAACTAGACTATAAGAGATAACACAGCCGCATACGCGGCCACGTGCTTCCGGGAACTTTGTTTTATAGTCTCTGGATCTTGGCCGTTGATGGGATTTCATGGTGCCTGGGGGATTTTGTGGGTGTGTCTGCCAGCTGCTGAAAAATGGGGAGTCTGGGTGCAGGAGGTCCAGTCCCGATCCAAACAGGCTTGGAGATCTCAGCCCTAGGACCCACGCACCTGGGTTCCTCTGTCGGTTCCTTCATGTGTGAGGCTCGTCCGAGCGTGTGGAGAGTGGCCTAGAACATGGCTGTGGTTGGGTATCGGAGGTCTACAGCTGCTGGGGCTCTCCTTGGGGTGGGGAGGGAAATTTGACCTGCCCCCCTCCAAGGGGTCCCGGAGAAGACTGCCTGGCATGCAGGCAGGAGACTCTGCCTTATAAAATTGATTATTTTAGTGTACTCTTAATATTTCACAAACCCTAATTCTCCAGTGCTCAGATTTATTTAATAAGTACCCATGACTGTCACATTTCTGTGTGTGTTTTGGGATGGTGTGGGGCAGGAGAAGTCTGTGACCAAATGTATTTTTTATTTAGAGTTCTTTTCATGTACTTTCAGCTGGTTTTTGATATGCTGGTTTTACAAAAGCACAACACGGAGATGACCACTGCTGCCGGGGAAGCCTTCTATACATTGGTGTGCCTGCATCAGGTAGGGCTGAACAAGCTCTCCGGTGCGTCAGCAAGGAGATGATGTAGATAGATGTGGGTCAGGGATACCCCATCTGTAACAGTCCACGATTCAGTCTTCAATCCTGTTTCAGTGTTGCTATATTTCTTTGTTTGTGGGCCACACCCAGCAATACTCAGGGGTTACTCCTGACTCTGTGCTCAGGAATTACTCCTTGTAGTCTTGGGGCCATATGGTGTGCTGGAGGTAGAACTCAGGTTAACTGTATGCATGCGCCTTCCTCCTGTGCTCTCTCTGGCCCCTAGCTCTGACTCTGTGTTTTGCCTTTACTTAATAAGCTTGTTGTCTTTTCGAATTTCTTTTCTCTTCTCCACAGTTACAAACCATCTTTTGCAAACCATCAGCACATAACTGAACTAGGAGTAGGATTCAGACAATAAAACATAATAGAGACATGGTTTCTATACTTGAGAAACTCATAGTTTTGTAGGGAGATAAGAAACCGAGATAGAGGATTATGCCTTCAGAACGTCGGGGATGCTATTATTTTCTGATTACAGTATAGAAACAATGTAGTGCTTCATAATACATCATGGAGGCCCTTATTTAATTTTCTTTTGAAATTTTGAAATTAATGTACTAGCTCATTTGTCTCTATCCCCTCATCTAATAGAATATCGGGGCAGATGTAGAGGAAGAGCTGTATTGGGCCTTGGCCACCTCCATCCTGCCACATGCACACTTCCCAGACTGGCCAGCTGATTGGCTTCAGAAACTTTGGCATGATTTTAAGTACAGAGGCCACAACATTTGCTATGATTTTTATTTCCCTTTATAAAAGAAAGAAAGAAAGAAAGAAAGAAAGAAAGAAAGAAAGAAAGAAAGAAAAGAAAAGATGGGATTGAGGAGCATTTTTGTGCTATTTAAGGACTCCCTTCCTCAAGACTTCTTAAGCCATCTGTGCTCCAAGTGGACGTGCTCTGAGATGCATTTCTTACTCTGCTCTAGAAACTGCTTCTGTGTATGGCGCCTATCTCGGTCTGTGGCCATCTCTGCCATTGGCTTCTTTGTGGTTTGCTAGGAAGAGAGGCTTCTTATCCTCACATACATAAGACAGTATATTCTGGAGCCTTTTCAGTTTAATTAAATTTTTTGTTTGTTATTTTCTGGGCTTAGTCCTGGCTGTATACACAAGGATTACTCCTGGCAGTGCTTTGGGGACCATGTGCAGTGCTAGCGTTCAGATAGCAAATCCAGGTCAGCTGTGTGCAATGCAAACTCCCTACCCACTGTACTGTCTTTCCAGCTTCTGGAGTCTTTGGAGTCTTTTAAAACGTTCAGACATCCCTGAAGGTACCGCTCTTGCCTTGCAGTTAGCCAACCCATGATCGATCCTGGGCACTCCATATCATCTCCTGCACACAGTGCCAGGAGTGAGCCCTGAGCACTGCCAGAGGTGACCCCAAAAGCAAAATCAAGTATTCACACTTTCTAGGAAGGAGAGCAGAAACTTGGCCAGAATATCTTGATGCTCTCCTCTCTGTCATTTCTGCTGGGTAGAAAAATGATTAGATTTGATCCCCACTTCTCTCTGAGCAGACCTGTCTGATGGAGCAGTTTAGAATAGAAGCTATGGGTTGTGCCCAAGTTTTATAACCTTATCAGTTATAAAAATTTGCTTTTATTCTTTTGGTTTCCCAAGAAGTTAATACAAAATAGCAATCAGAACACCACGTTTTTCAAGAAAACTTAGAAACTTTTCTTACTGAGTTTTCCTTAATCTCAGCTCTGTGTAAGACTGTGTTATGAAAGGTATTCCCCACTTTTTGCCCCCCCAAAAAAAAAAAATCTGGGGCTGGAGGGATAATCCAGCAGGCAGGGTTCTTGCCTTGCATGTGGTAAATCTAGATTAGAACCGTGGCACCCATATGGTTCCCTAAGCCTCACCAGGAGTTATCCTTGAGCACAGACCAAGAGTGAGCCCTGAGCCTGACTGGGTGTGTTCACCCAGCAAAAGAAGAAGAAAAACTGCACACAGATATCTCATATTCCTGTGTTTATGAAGCTTCTCCTGTGACCCTTTTTCAAGAGTCACCGGTGCAGCACTAGGTGGAATTCCCAGCATTCTGCTTATACTTTGGTTTGTGCACTGGCACTGCCCTCAGCCTTTGGGCTGAATATGTCTGAGTACTGTGAAAGTACAGAAGCAGCATCGGGACAGCTGAAGAGAGCGCATGGGGTCTGGAGCCAAACAGCTTTGGCTCCTTGAGGTAGTTAACTAACTTCTGTGTAGAGACTTCACTACAAAATCCCAGATAATGTACAGTGTATGTCATAGGACTGTGCTGTAGAAAAAACAAGGCCCTATGGAGGTTGAAACAGTCAATAGGCCCTAGGACATTGTAAACTCTGGGCCGATCTTGAACTATTAAGATAGGACTCTCTGACTTTACCCTGTGTTGGAATTCCGCAGTCTGGTGAGAAGTCTGACCTGCTTATGTGTGTGATCATGCCTCCTTTATTTCTTTGCTAGGCTGAATACTCTGAGTTGGTTGAAACGCTACTGTCAAGTCAGCAGGACCCAGTTATTTACCAGAGATTAGCGGATGCCTTTAACAAGCTTACAGCAAGCAGCACGCCCCCGACGCTGGACCGCAAACAGAAGATGGCCTTCTTAAAGAGTCTAGAAGAGTTCATGGCAAATGTTGGTGGTCTCCTTTGTGTAAAATAAATGACAAAACTTTAAGCTAATTTAGATCCTTTCTGCAAAGTGCACTGAATTGCTAAAAGTTGGTTTGATTCTTGATCTGTTCCTCAGTTCTTTGGCCGTTTTGAATTTTGGAGAGCCTGAAAGTTTGACATGTTACGCAGTGAGACAGGAGAGGTCAGCTTTGAACCAACATCTGCTGTTTGCCACAATCTGTCATACAGTGTTTTGTAGATTTTTGAATGGCGATATAAAATTCTCAATGAAATTCCATATATGTGCAGACAGATATGGGCACCATGAAGTACATATTCAGTGCCTTTCCCCCACCCCAGAATCAGAATATGCAGTGTCTGACCAAAGTCTTCATATTTCATGATTCGGTACTCGTGGCTGTATGCTCAGAGTATTTCTCAAAGTACTGCCCAGGTCACCTGTGTCAACTGAAGAGCTGATTGAAATGGCAGATTTTCGGGCTCGACTATAGCCCCTCAGAGTTGATTGCTGTTGGATCTTGAATTCTTCATACTAAGAAGCGCTCCCCACTTCCAGCCCTCACACCACCCCCAAGTTTAAAAATCAATGCAAAAGACATTGGAAACTCGTAAGAGACGTTGTGCTTTCAAATTTGGGGGGAGTCTCTGAGGACTAGGTTTGTAATTCAGCAAAAAGAAGAAACATCGGGTGTTTGCTGGCTTTCCATTACATGCTCCTGCACTCTCTCTTTTGAACGTCAGCCTGGTACCGCAGGGTCTCTGATCCTGGTCTCTGACCCTTCTCTGATGCCTGGACCGGGGAAGGAAAATGCATCTCTCTTCTTTGTTCCATAACAACTCTAGGAACCGCAGCCATTTCATTGCCTTAATTTTAAGAAGAAAATAAAAGAAAGAGAACGACTTGCTTTAGTAAGGAAATCAAGTTTGATGCCTCAGTTGGTTCAGGGTGTCGGCTGCTATGAACCCTTTGATCATGTATTTCTATGGGTTTATGAATGGAATGAAAGACTTCATACATATGTAGTCTTTTTGAGCGTGTTTTAAATCCAGCTACGAAGCCCTTGGCTAATAATCTACTTGGAATTGTTTGCTTAAGCAATAACTGTTTTAAAGGATGTGAATTACTGATTCATACAAACTATTATACATCGGGGCATGAGGGGTGATAATTATGCTCAAGTGCGTGTTGTTCTTATTTCACAGGAGCCATGGAAATTTAAGGAGACAAAAAAAATTCACTTTCGGAGCCTCTAGTTTGGTTTTTATAATTGGGATTTTTGTATTGCCACCATGCTACCTTTAAGTTCTGTGTCCCAACTTGAATGATGGAATGAAGCTGGTTTGTAAAATAGTAGGTATAGGAAACTCCCCCGGGGCCAGAGAGTATAGTGGGCAGGGCACTTGCCTTGCATGCAGCTGACCTGGGTTTTGATCCCTGGCACCCCCACGTGTCTCCCAAGCATTGGGTGTGGCCCAAAAGTGGTGGTGGCGGGTGGGGGGCGGGGGCATCTGGAAACTCTTCCCCCATGCTACCTAAAAACCACACAATACAGTCTGAGAAGCCTCTGGTGCAGATTAGGAAGCCTCTTCCGAAGGCTGCACTTGCTCCTGCTCTGCCCTTGATACCTGGGTGCTAAACTATCCTTCAGATTCAAACATTGTTTGAATTGCATTTAGCATATACACCTTCACATGTGATACCATGCAAGACTCTGTGCTAATAAGAGCACTTGAAAAAACTGCAGCACCTCCGTTCCATCCAGCCTGTGCATGGGGCGTTAGCTATGAATCAGCGCAGGCCTTGGCCCATGGCATTTAATTTGATCACCACTGAGTCCCAACAGAGGTAGAGTAAAAACACCTTAGAAGACTAGGAAAAAGCTGTTATTCTTCATGAAATGTGCATATTGTATTTTTAAAAAAGACTGAACAAAGCATTTTATTTTTTTATTTCTTTGTTCCCATTTAAAAAACAAGTCTTATGCAGCAGTTTTTATCGTTCTTAGTTTTACATATTTTTCATCACCTTCATGCTTTCTTGGTAGATATATATGAGAGAGAAATATGAGAGCGAGAGAGAGAGAGAGATAAGAGAGAGATACGAGAGTGTATGGAAGTGGGGCTGGAGCACTAGTACAGTGGGTAGGGCATGCGGCCGACCCAGGTTCAATTTCCAGCATCCCATATGAACTTCTGAGCACCGCCAGGAGTAATTCTGATTGCAGAGCCAGGTGTGACCCGAAAAAGAAAAAAAGAGTGTTTGGGAATGTGTGTGTGTATGTGTGTGTGTGTGTGAGAGAGAGAGAGAGAAAGAGAGAGAAGGTAAGAAATATGAGGAAAGGAAAGGTTTGGTAAGTGAAAAGGTACCTACTTAATAATGATTAATTAGATCAGTTTTAATTAAACCAAGATTTCAAACCAAATAATACTTACGCTAGCACCAAGATGTGCATTGGTGACAAATTGGAAAGAAGAACCATCCCCATTTCTTAGGTAGGGGAAACACCACTTAATTGGAATGGTTGGTATCTTTTCTGGGTGTTTGTGTTTTTTTAATTTGGTTAGTCACAATCTTTTTTTCCCCAACTTTAGCTGTGTTTACTTTTTTCTTGTTCTTGTTTTTTAATGTTCTTGGTCCAGAACACAAACTTATTTCTAGTAAATTGTGTTTTTTTAAACTACTAAAACTTGTTAAGTTGTCAAGACTGTTAAAAGCAAAAATATTGTTTGCCCCCTTTCTATATTTAAAGGGACACTTGACTATCTCATTTTAGGAATTTTGTGTTCTATAAAATTTATATTTTTCATGTATAGTATCCTCTTCTCATTTTTCAGTTTATTGTTATGGGTTTTTTGTTTTGGTCTTATTTTCTTTGAGCCATTCCTTTCCGCATGCACCTTCTCTGAGGTGTCCCAAGGATGGCCAGGAAGAACTTTGTCCTCTTGTAATGCAGTAGCACCTATTCCTGTGTCCTTGTAGCTCTCTTGGTTTGCATTTCTGGTTCTTTGGCGTGGGTGACTGCCTGGTGAGTGGACTTCTTGACAGTCTCTGACAGTGCCCCTTCTAGCACAGACATTTCAGTCTTTCTGCCATCCTGCCTACCTGGTTGAGCCACTGGTGTGTTGACATCACTGCACTAAGTTTTCATGTGGCACAAAATAGGACGTTTTATGGGTGAAAACAAAGAGAATCTTCAAGTATGTTTCAGATGAATTTTAAGAGTTTAGTCTTATTTCACTGTAAACCATATAAATAACTATATTGTATCAGATGAGATGTTACTATTCTTTTCATAATTTTCATTTCAAAACAAAGAATCTAACTTCCCCAAGCTGCATTAACACTCAACTTTTTTTGTCTTTTCACTTTCTACTTTACCAAAAATGTTGTCTTTATATTTCCAATTTCATCCTATTTCCCATTTCTGTTCATACCTGTACAAGCCCCTCAGATATTAAAGGGGATGATGCATCAGGTTAAGGATTTCAGATTTGAGTACCCTGGAACACAGTGCCGATTGCGCCCTTCAGTGGTAGGGTGTTTGTCTGTCATCATTTACCTGTGTCCTGTGGCCATCTCTGCCATTAGAGTGTCATTAGACCATAAAAGTTAGTGGCCAGAGGTGTGGGAAGGCAGGCTGGGCAAAAAGAAGGGGGCAGGTAGAGACATATAGTAGGGATGGTGGGGGAGGTGGTGCCTTGTGTCATCTGTATCAGCCTGATCTGGTTCTATCCCCAGCACCACATGCAGTCATCTAAGCCGTGCCAGGAGTTATTCCTGAGCACAGCTTGGGTGTGGCCCAAAAAGCCAAAAAAAAAAAAGTTAGGTATCTTTCACAAAAAGTTATTGTTATTAGTTCCTACATAAAATATTAATTCTTAAAGATGTGAGTGTGTTTAAACAGGAATAGGCTTGGAAATTAAATTTTAAAATAATTTTCTCAATTTTTTCACAGAACAGCTGATTTGGAGATAAAATGATGTGTTGAATTATTTTAAATCTTTTAAAAATTATTTTAAATGGATAGTCTCTGTCTTGGTAACATTGCTTCTTAAAGAACTCTTTCAAATTTGTTTTCTAAAATTAAAATTGTCCAGATTAGGTAAGTTGCCAAGTTCAAATTTGTTTGAGTGCCATGGTTCCAAGTTTTACCTTAAACATTTTAATCTGGCTGTTGAGAAACATGAAGTACTCCTGATTGACTAGGATAGAAACCAGAACCATATTTAGCCAAGAATATGTTTGGTTCAGATAATGATAGAAGCATTCTTCCTGTTTTTAAAAGGATGGGGCAGGTTGGTGTGTTTCTGACCTCTCGACACTTCAGAATGGTGTTGGTGGTGACTGGGAGATGTGGTTTGCGTGGCCATCTCCGTCTGCTCACTGCTCACATTGCAGCCCGCATATGCCCACTTCACTCGCAGCACTTCCCTCTTCACTCAGTCCCAGGCTTTCCCCGCAGTGTGGAGCCTGTTTTCTTTTCTGGTCTCTATTCTTAGGTCTCTTAGCTACTGGGTACTGTGATATATACACTGATAGTTATTTTTCCTAGCCTGAAATTAATTACTGCATCCGTACTATGTATTTCATGGGAATCTGACCTAGTTCATGCACTCAGTGTTCTGAGTCCTGTTGTACTGGTGTGGTGGTATCTTTGACCACAAAAATTCATGACAGATTGCAAACACTGAATTGTGATTTGGTTCTCTGTGCAGGGGAAGAAGCTCCAGCAGTGAATCTACGGTTTAATGGTCACGAAGTGCTAGCACTGCTACTACTCAGCACGTGTACACTTTTTAAAAATTTATGAATATTAAAATTTTAAACTTACACTAAGTCTATGCAGTTTATTTTTAAGAGATCAGGGTTGATTATGCTATTGCCTATATTAACATTACTAATGAAGGTACAAAGTTGCATTTAATTTTTCAAAAGATGCTAAATATAATTTTAGGAAATTAATCCAGGCTTTGTACTGCTATCGTTACAAACTGAGTATCAAATTGATAAAGTTTAATTTGTATTTTTAAAATTTATAAATGGGAACTAAAATGTGTCTTCACTAAATATTTTTATTACAGTTTTGTTTTGATCATGTGTGATTTATTCATAACCAATTGGCTAGACTATTTTATGAACCTTATCTAAATGGTGCCTAGTTCATGTATATAAAAGGATTGACACACAGTACTATACAATCATTTAACAGTTTTAAAGGCAAAACGGGCTATATCTGTATAGATAGAATAAATTTCCTGCATTAACTTAGGGGAGAATACCTAACCCTAATTAGGATGTTTAGAATTCAGAATGAAAAAGGCTTTTTCAATATTCTGTTATAAGTACATTTATTTATAAAATTTGTGGGTGTTTACTTGGCTACATATAGTGGTATTCAGGGCTTATTTCTAGCTCTGTGCTCAGGAATCCTAGCAATTTTCCTGTGAATCTTATACATAAGTGCTGGGGATTGAACCGAGATCAGCCACATACAAGGCAAGTGGTCTACCCACTGTAATATCTCTCCAACTGGCATGCACATTTATTTTTATATTAGCTATCTTAGAATTTCAAAATAACTAGTTAAGTCACTGGATATGGGAGATAGTTATGGTAAATGTTTTTACCGGGAGATATTTATGATGAAGGTCATTGTTTCACCTTCCAGGAAAAGTGGAGAATTGCCATTCTATTAGATATTCACCGCTAATCAAATTTAATCTCAAATATGCAATAAAAAGTAATTTTTTAAAGAATGAACATGAATTTGGACACAATTTAAGACTTGCTCTTGAATAGTCATTAATTTATAATGGTGTCTTTTAGGTTATATTGCTGTTACACTTTGGTGGATAAAATAGATTGTGTGTTGAACATTTGCTTTCCCTCTTTCATGACTAAATTGTCTGTACACAGGCACAGATTAATAGGTGGGCAATT